AAAAAAAAAAAAAAAAAAAACTGGCTTCAACAACTAGCTGTTTCTATGCTGGCCTCCAAGAACTCTGGAACATACCAGATCATTACTTATCAAATGATACAGAGACTGTCTTCCTGGGACTTTCACAAGGAAGGTGCGGACCCATCACATCCCCTCTCCCTCAGGACTCAAGGAATAGCCTTCAAATTAATCTGTGCCCCCCGCCCAGGAGCCTCTCTCCCCCTAAGAGAAGCTAGAAGGGGGCACGGAGAAACTGCGAGGCTCTCCCCAAAGCCACACAGCAAACCAGTCTAGGTCCTCACTGAGCCTCCTACCTGCCAGGCAGCATACAATACACATGCTCTCACTTCATCCCTGCAAGGCAGGACTTTTTAACTCCATTTCACACATGAGGCACCAATTTGGAGAGGTTGGGTCATCTGGCCCTGGTAGGCTGAGAGGAGACATCACCAGGTGGCTTTCCTCCCAGGTGCCCGCATTTTCCTTTCTGGGCTCTGCCTTTGTCCTTCTGTCCCAACTCACAGCCTCCACAAAAGGGTGCAAAGCTGAGCTGAGGCTAATGGAATGCCCAGACATTCCAGGATCTTAAAGAAGGGGCCTGCTCCCTGGGCCCTGCTGACCCCTCTGGCTGGACCAAGAGCTGCGAGCGCCAAAGTGGGATCCTGACCACAGGTTGTCAGGAGTCAGCCCTTCCACTCCTGCTCCTCGGGAACTCCCATGAAGGAGAAACCCTCAACTCTTCTTGAGCCTGCAACAACTGAGCAGTCTCAGAAAAGGAGAAAGATGAAATTGGTACTTGAAACAAAATAACAAAAAGGAATTTATAGGAAACTGCAAATGCCTTTTTATCCTTAACAGGATTATACCAAGGATGCTGCAGAAAAAGCAGCACTTAAATAGAGTCCCCAGGCGACACAGTTGTCAACTGCCGGGTGCCTGAGGGTTGTTCAGGCTCGGCCCCTCCTGCCAGGGGCTGTCCGGAGGCAGCCTGCAGCTAGTCCTCCAACACGGAGCTCTTCGCCTCTACATACTCCAGGGCCTTCGCCTTCACTGCCTGCACATCCTTCTCAGTGCCATGTTGCTTCTCATAGTCCAGGTAGCGCTTGAAGAAGAATTTCATTCGCTTGGGGGCCAGACTCAGGTGAATGACCCGCTCGAAGATGTCCCTGTGAGGAAGAGCAGAGCAGCGTTTGCCTCTCAGTCCCTGCCACACAATTCCTGGCTAACTTTCCTCCACTTGCTCTCTGGCTTTCTCTGGAGCAGGCCCTCTGTCATCCAGCACTCCCACTTCTAGCTTTATTTTACTACCACTAAACACTCCCATCATGTCCACTGGGAGAGAGAAAACAGCACCCTTACTTTCCAGGTGAGGAGACAGACACCCAGAGATGTTAAGGACTCATTGGTCTGAAGTCACAGTGAATCAGGACAAAGCTACTGGGAGGGGACCCACATGAGGCATGCACCTGTGAGAAAAGCTCTGCTTAAAGCTCACTAACAGGCTTAGGTGAAGCACTAATTCTCTCTGGACCTCAGTCTACCTATCTGCAATCCTCCCTGCCTGTGCAGATACTGGCGGACAACAGTGAGATTATGCCTGTAAACATTCTCTACAATGAGAGTCAGGCACAGTGTTAATTATGAGGGAAACCCAAGTCTCCTGATTCCCAGGCCAGCAGCCAACCTGTCTCCCACCCAAGGTTCCAAATCCCGACCAGAAGCTGGCCCCTGAGGCAGAAAAAGAAGTTGGAGAAGTGAATGTCACAGAACCTGATGTGTCACTAGGGATGCTGGGAGCTGCCGTCGTTGCTAAAAGTCATCTGCTTGGCCAATGTCCCCAACCCTTAGCCCTGGTCTGTCTTCCCCTCTCACCGGACTTCCTTCTGGCTGCCGTGCTTGATGGTCATGTCGATGTAGACTGACCAGACATCTGTGCGCTTTGGGTAGGTGCTCAGTGTGTTCTCGAAAATGGCCTTGGCTCGCTCTGCATCCCCCAGCTGGAACTCAAGCTGGGCAAACTTGGAGAGCACATCCACGTCTGCAGGAAGAGGACAGCTCAGACACGCAAAGCAGAGAGCCCTCACCACAATGTGCTACAGGGACTGAGTCTGACTCCTAACTCCCTGCTCGTGTCCCAAGATAGAGGCAATGACAAGAGGGACAATGGGGTAGATTAGGGCCAAATACACAGGTGGGCACTGATCTATGACTCCCACTGCAGACACCCTACTCTACAGGGGCAGGGGCAAAAGAATTAGTGCTAATTGCTTTCTGTTCCTCAGTCTTCAGGGTTTTGCACTTGAAATGCAGCGCAAGTTATGTTCATGAGCATACAATCAACAGAGTGACAGCTATGTAACCTCCCACCACCCTCAGATGAGGGGACCCGCAGTCCCTGTGCCCAAATGGGAGAGAGTCCAATGAGCTCAGGAACTGGGCTGATAGTGGGACTAAGCACTCACGCTCTTTTTTAGGCAGGCACTCGAGGGCTCGCTGCATTGCACGGTGACTGGCCCCAGCCTGGCCCCTCCGCAAAAGAAAGGCTCCATACTTGACCCAAACAGCTTTCTCCTGCCGGAAACGCTTCAGCATCCGGTTGTAGAGTTCACCAGCTTCCTGAGGGAAAAATAAGGCAAGCTGAGGAAGGTGATACGACAGAGCAGGAAACAATAAAGACAGGCAGCTCTGTTTGTTAGAAACCAGACCTGAGCTCACCGACTCCAATCACTATGCAGGCCCAATTCTAGATACTGAGGGGAGAGGGCCGGCTCACAGAGGCGAGGAGGCCTAACATGATGGGGAGTCTCCCTACTAATCCTGTGCCCGTATGGAGATCCCAAGACTAGACCTGGATCCAGAACAGCAGGGATTCTTCCCTGCTGCCTCTGTGACGCGCAGTAGTCAGTTTCTGAGTGGCTGAGGACCCCCCGCTAGCCAGGTCACCTGGCCCAGACTCCTACCTGGAACTTCTCTGACTTGGTGTAGATGTCAGCCAGTTGGAGAAAGACCTTGAGAGGCTCATTGTATTGCACGGCCCGCTCAAAGACCTTGGTCAGTGACTCCTGAGAGCCGTACATGTTCTCAAGGTTCAGCAGCGCCACCCACACGTTCAGCTTCTCCTGCTCCTCTCTGGAGGGAGAGCAGTCAGCATATGACATCCATCATCTTGGCCCAAGGAGCCCTTCACTCCACTTTGGGGTGTCAACTGAGCTCCACCCTCCTGCCCAGGCTCCATCCATGTCCTTAGTTCCCACCCTCAAGTACAGGCACTGAGAGGCCCTGTCCCACTGCAATTCACACAGTGGCAGGAACCCTGACCCCAGACTGCCGGGTTTGGGGCTCACAGACAGAGGCTCTACCCTCCATTCCTGGGGAGGAAGCCCACTAGATCTCAAAGTGGCCTGAGATCTGAGCTGGAAGGAGCAGAATCTCTGGTCTGAGTCGCTCCCCAAACTAAGAGAAGAAGTAAAGGATTGCCATCCCTCTTCATTAGCCTTCAGAACACTCACTCTACTCTCTGCCTGGAAAATGGCCACCTACAGGTTTCACCCAGTATGTGGAAAGTTGTGTTCCCCACTCTACTTCTGCTCTAAGTTGGGCACTGTATTTAAGTCAGGGGCTCTTGCAAATGTTACCCTTAGCTGTTTCAGTGAAGAGGAATATGAATTATAAATGAGCAGATCTATTTCACAGATGGCATCTATGAGAGAGCCCGGGAACCCCTGGGGGCAGCCACCCCAACTGCTGTCAGCCAGCCAAGGAGGAAATGACCCACAGGTGGCAAGCCCTGCAACCTGGGGAAACACAGCCCTTCCTGTCAAAAGGCCCCTTCCTAAAGCAAGGGGGACAAAGCCCAGACCTGAAGGAGATGGTCTTGAGAGCCCTCTCGGCCACAGCCCGGGCCTTCTCGATCTCCGTGGCCTGCAGGTGGAAGGCCATGTACTGCAGCCACAGGATGGAGCTGTTGGGGGAGCTCAGCACAAGCCGGTCAAAATCATCTGCTGACTCTGGCTGTCGCCCAGGATCCATCAGTGCCTCCTCAATGCGGGACAGCTCTTTCTCTGCCTTCTGCTTCTCCAACTCCCTTTCCTTCTTGCTTTTCTTCTTCTGCTATGAAAGGCAAAAAAAAATTGAATAATCAACTCCTCAGACCCTGGGCAGGTCTGTGATAGAAGCCAAGAGTTGGCAGGACAGTCCACAAGCTCTATAAATACTCCTTGGCCTGAGACCACCCCACCCCGCCGGAAGAGACACCCACAGGCTAGGACAGACACAAGAGACTGGCACCAAGGAGTCCCTGCAAAATACGGCACCGTGGCTTGCTGTGGCTTGTCATCCTCCTCGCTGTCTGAGCTCTCTCCT